CTGCTGCATCCAAAGGGACTCCGGGGTGGGGGGAGGGGGAGGTGACAGCCGGGATCAGGGAATCCCCGAGGGATTTTCTGGGAATTTCCACACTCAGGGATGTGGGGAGAACGTTTTGGAGCTGGAGGGGGGCTGATGGTGAAGGTTTTGAAGCTCCCAAACCCCCCTCCAGGCTTTGCTTCCCCACCCCCGGGGCATCACCCAGAGCCCACCGAGGGGTCCTTGCCCTGCCCATGTCCCCCCACTCGGGGGAGAAAAAGCAGCTTTAAAATGGTCGTTCTTAAGAGTTGCTCCTCACATGCACACACACTTTACATTTTGTATTTTTGAGAAGTCTGGATTTAACTGGAGACACTATAACAATTCATATTTACATCCTGACCTGCTGGATGGTTTGATTAAACAGCCCCTGAGGCAGCTGAACAGCGAGGTGGGAAGGAGTTCCAAGAGCAGGCTGCTAGTAAGTTGATTTTTGTGGCTTTTTTTTTTCCCCCCTGGATACCACAAATTGATAATTGAACAGCATTTTAAATGATTTATTTATTATTTCATGGCTATGCACATTAAAACACCTGCATGGATGTTTTAAATCCACATTAAAACACCAGTGTGGATGTTTTAAATCAACATTAAAAACATCCGTGTGGATGTTTTAAATCCACATGAAAAATATCCGTGTGGATGTTTTAAATCCACGTGAAAAACATTCGTGTGGATCTTTTAAATCCACGTGAAAAACATCTGTGTGGATCTTTTAAATCCACATTAAAACACCCAGAATCTGTCAGCAGAGATAGGAAAAAGAAATAATAATTGAAACAAAGCAAAAAGTATAAAAATAATAAAAATTACACATGGTCACCACATTATTAATAATTGTAATGAAAAGAAAGATTAAAAAAAAAAAAAAAGAGAGAGAGAGAAATAAAAGCCAAGAGGTTTTATGCTCAGCACACACTGAGCAATGCCCAGCTGGGATGTCCCAGGTGGTGACATGGTGACATCCCAGGGGTCTGGACCACAAACCAGATTTATTTATATAAATACATATCTAGGATTTATTGTGAAAATGATTAAGGACAAGTATCTCAATCAGAATTATTTACTGCCCAGCAGAGGAGCTGTGACAAGCACTGTAATATAGTGCACTGGGAAGCACCAATTCCCAAGAAGGGACAATGTCAGGAGACCCTGCCCTTAAAATCTGGGACACTCAGGTGTGTCCAGGCTGTGCCAGCCCAGCAGCTCTGGAGAAGTTCTCAGTGGTCTGACTTGTTTGTTCCTTCATTTCCAGGTA